TGAAGACACTCAAATTTTGAAATTTTTCTAGATGTATAACACATATTCTAAAGTCAATAAGTTTAATTAAACCTGATTACAATTCTTAAATCACCTCTCACAATAAATCCTTTATCAAAAGAGTGCTGTTTTTGTGACAAGTATAATAGATTTTGCAACGCCATTTCTCCAGTAGTCCAAGTTCAATCTACCTGAATTCCCGAACGGCAAGTAGGTACAATCTATAAATGTTTATAATTTTTATAGTGATGCCAAAGCTATCTATATAGCAGATTCCTCTGTCCTAATTGAAAGTCCTTATGGCGAATCCTAGTTCTATTCCATTGTGACAGTCCTGCTTTTTCTCTGTGGTTTGAAGATAAAAAGTATTGAAGGAGAAAGCGTGACCAGACCTTGTGTCAGGTAAAGGGAATACCTTCTTTGAGCATTCCGACATGCCTCATCATCCAGAGTGGCTACTTTGAGGAAGTGGCCTTAGAAAGTGTAATGTTAATATCTTTAGTCTGTAAGAGTGGGGTTTGGATAGTCTGCTATATCTAGTATTCTTTATATGTTGAAGTAAATGTTTCTCTAGCCCGGAGGACAAGTGACAGGTTGCGGTCTGATAACCGAGTGATGGGATTGCCACTTTCCCATGCCAAATTTCAATCGGTTAGATCTGTCTATATTATTAATCCATTTTCATTCTGTCCCTTTGTCTGCTCCTTAAATACTAGATCACGGCTTTCTGGGCAGATTATTTATTAGATGGATAGATCCTTTATTGATCATGCTATCTCTTTTTGCAATTCCTAACCAAGAGCTATTTATGAAGTCTTTAAACCAGCTCTTTCAAACATTATTTACAATCGTGGTCATAGAAATTGCATCACCTATTTCTTTTGATTATTATGTTGATTCTGTTGAATGACTTGTATGCTTTTTTATTACTTATTTAGGTTACAAGAAAACTTTATCAATGTAAGTTCAGCTTTAACTAATGCCAGAATAAAATCTGTAATATGATCAGTTTCAAAAAACTATCCTAGTTAGAAAATATTAAAATTGTGATGTTGCATGAAATAAATATTCATGGGAAATAGTAACAAGGATAGGGTACCACAAATCAATGGTAGTCATAGTTTTTTAAAAAAATAAAAGGAACCATGGAGCGAAAGAAAGAAACTAGCAATTTGACCACTTAATGGTGTGATTGTTTTTAGAATATCATTTTAAAACTGGCAAAGAAGCATCCGGAGATCTTGCAGATAGCAATCTGGTAAATAAAATAAAATTTTTATGGGGTGAAGCAATTTCTGTGACCATGACTGTATTACTTCACCATCTTGATAAAATACCCTCAGACCAATAGAAAGTTACATTTTTCTATTAATTGTTTTTTAATTGATAAATTAATACATCAGAAGCTAGGATTGCCCATAGAAGCACCCTTCAGAAAAACATTGAGATTAATAACCTACTTATCTTTGTGAATAGAGAAGGAATACAGCAACCTTAGGGCAAAGACCAAAAAGACAAGCTAGCAACTATTTGTAGTTCCTTAAGAACCATAAAATCCATATATAGGAGCAAAAAAAGGGGGGGAATATAAATATGGAGCTTAGGAACGAAAAAAAAAACATATATTTACTTACTTTTGTTAACTTAAAATATTCTTGATTCTTTTCTTAAAAGATTATATATAGTATTTGATATACCCTTTGATTATTATTGCCAATAACATAAATAAAATGGCTAGAGTCATATACAATGCTGTTCCAAGTAATCCTAATTTATTAACTAAATGAACAGAAATAATATTTAAAAAAAAAAAAATATGAACTTGCCCAAGAGTTAATAGAAAGTAACTGTGACCTCAATAATTATACTTTGTAAAGACTCATTAAAAAAACATTTAGAAATAGAATACAAAATTTAGGTCTGGAATCTCTGGATTTGAAGTATGTCTAAAAAGAACTTGATTTTATTTAAATACATACTATATAAACACATGACTTATATTAATACATAATATTCTGAGATTTAATAAAAGTTAAAAACTATTTTCATAATGGAAATTCCTAAAATCAGATCAAATACAGTTTAAAGAATAAAGAACAAAGGAATCAAGAAAATGTAACACTCCATTGTGTTTTGACAGTACTATACTACAATGAAAGTTCATCATCACCGGTGATTTTAATATAAATATGGCTTCACAAACTCCTGAGCAATACTTTCTTGCTGATAAACTATTCTCCCTCAATCTTTATATTGTTCTCTAACCTGCTACCCATTACACACAGTTTTCCGACACTTGGCTAGAAGTTTACATCTCTGACTCTCCTGTCAAAATCCTATCTTAAACATCCATGCTCCTCTGAAACTGAAACCCTAAGTCGTCTCACTGCTCCTTGGCTGACCCTTGAAATAAAGGAAATGATAAACGAAAGATATGCAGCAAGACCTTAATACCGTTGAACCCATCTACCCACTGATTATGTGTCTTACAAAGAACTTCATAAAGGAAACCAATCTGCAGTCCAACTCGCTAAATCCATCTACTTCCAAAATGCCTTTTCCAATGTCCAATGCTTGTGATTCCAAATTCAAATGGAAAATACTCCGTAAACTATCCCTACCAGAATCCAATAACCTCAGTTTCCTCCCTGTGACCCCGGATGATCTCAATGACCACTTCCTATCTTTTGCTCCCAATCCTTCTCGTGCTACTGATATTGAACATCATAATTTCAATCTGGAAGACTTCTTATTGTCCCTAGTGTCCTACGATGAACTCCTTACCATCCTCCTAAAATCCCACACTAATGATTATGGTCCTGACAATATCCCTGTAAAACTAATAAAATCCTGCCTTCCCGTCCTTAACCATATCTATAACTTCTCGTTAAAAAAATCCATATTTCCATCTTCTTAGAAAACTGCTCTAGTCCGACCTTTGAATAAAACTTCTAACCCCTCCTCACTGTATGACTTCCATCCTATTCCTCTCCTATCCAACCACTCAAAACCACTAGAACGTTTTGTCCAAAATCAACTTTCCAGCTTCTTAGATGCATGATCCCTCACCAATCCACTCCAATCTTAACTTCGATCTGGCCATTCAAGGCAATCCGTGCTCCTAAAAATAACCCATGACCTCCAAAACTCCATTGAACATCAAAAATTGACTATCTTTATCATTCTAGATTTTTCTAAAGCATTTGATCCAGTTGATCACATCCTCCTTACTAAACTGCAAAATCTTCCTCTATCTAATAGTGTCTTCCGTTGGCTCAAATCATTCCTCTCAGATTAGACCCAGTATGTAGTCGTTCCAGGACAACCTCCTTCCAAGATAGTTACCCTCTCCTGTGGTATCCCTCAGGATTCCTCTCTATCACCAACACTATTTGTTATTTATTTTAACGACCTACTCCCCTGATCCATAATTTCCAATACCATATCTATGCTGATGATTTCAAAATATAACTATCCTTCCCACCTTCTGATCTATTAACAGCCACAAAAAAACTTCAAGAACACTTAAATAGAATCTGTGACTGGGCAGAAGCTAAAAAGCTGAAGTTGAATGCGGAGAAGACGAAGGAAATTCTAATAGGCTTTAATCACCTCCTTAAAACTATCCCTAATATCCCAACTCAGTACCTAAATCCCATCAAATTTTATCCATTCTTTAAAAACCTTGAAATAGCCTTTGAATGAACCTCTCCTAGAAAAAACATGTATCCAATATATCCCACTGTTCCTTTTCCCAAGGCTCCTTGTTACTTCCTTGATATTCCCAACTTTGACTACTGTTGTGCCTGTATATGAGGGTATTTCTTGGGATCTCGAGGTAAAATCCAAATGTTTAATGATCTGCTTTGGGATCCCAAGGAACACCTGTCTCCTGTTTTTATGAGGAGTTGAAGTGACTTTATTCTTCCTACCGTCATAAATATTTCCTGGCATCCTTCTTCAACCAAGTCATCCAACCCAGCCGTCCCTCATACATTTCCGAGCTCTTCTTCTTCTTCTTTCTCTACCTCCTTTGTGCCTTTCAGCGTGGAGGTCCTTCAATTCAAATCGTCTGTTCACTCCCAGTCTTTAAATTTATAAACATCAGCTCCCCGAACTGCAGCTTTTGACAGTTCATTCATTATTTGATGCTCATCCTAATGGAATTCCATCCTCTCCTACAAAACTCCCATCATACATCCGTCACTCCAATACCTTACCCACCTTTAAATCCTGCCTATTCAATCACTTCCTACCCATCCAGTTTTCTAACAATTGTAAATAGCTTTTTCTGTAAATATTTATATAAATGATTAGTTTGTTTATTTGTTTTAAGATTTTTTTTTTTAATTCTTAAAGTCAGAAGGTAATTTTTCAATAATTATATTTGTTTATTTTATTCTTCTTTCATAGATCTCTAAGGCTTTAAAGCTCACTAATAATTTAATAATTTCAAAGGGACTTGTCCCAGAATAAATAATGCATATTATTATTAGGATTTTGTAAATTCATCCTTAGATCCTTATCTTAGAGAACATAGAGATAAGGCTTAGAGGATATCAGGGTATAAAAGTGATTCTGACTTGCTGAAAAGAGATGAATAATTATATCATAAGATGATGGGTTGCAATAAAAACAAAGCAAATTTTGAAAGCCAAAGTGCATAAAAGAAATGCTCAAGTGTGAGGTACTAGAATGGGAAAAAAATCTGGTCCTTAAATTATATCATGTACATACAAACGATAATATTGAAGAAGAAAGTTGGTATTAGCACTTCTACAGCAATGATTATATTTAAATAATAATTAGTTTTTATTTGTGGTACAAGAGCATATAAAACTAAATAAAGTTAGAATATAATGAAACAATAAAGATATCAAATAAAATATAGGTATGGCTTCACTATCCAGTTAGTCATTAACATGTCATTTAATATCACTTGAGTAATAAACAAAAAAGACAATCGTAAAATATTAATTATAAAAGATGAAATGAATTACCTCCCTATCCGATGGCCGAGATATTAATTCATCAAATAACATTTTTATACTTGCATAGACTGTTTAATAACAATTAGATTGATGTTCACACCACAATTGATACATGTAGGGATGGGTTAGATAGTATGTATCAGATACTTTGTATCCGAACCTCGGATTCCGAAGAACTTGTGACTTAGCTGGCGGTCGCCACAGAACCTACCTTCTTGTCTCATGTAACCTCTTTTTATCACTCGTCTCTGCTTAGTTACTTTTATTCAATTATTTACATTTTTTTTTTTTTTTACTAATGTTCTATTTAAAACGGATATAATAACATCATAACATGTTATAAAGTCAACTAAAAAAAAATGGAGGGCCTGGAAAGGTGGTTGAAATAGACGACAGTCTTTTCTAAAAAAAATTGTTTTTATTTATTAAAATTTACAACCTTATTAAATGAAAATACAACAAGTAAATACGATATTAGTAACATTACATGTACAACATGAAGAGAAACTACCCCTTGTTAGCACTCCAGTTATATTTACATATTAGAAGATCCCATCTTCCTTTCAGACGCCTCAGAGAGTTATAAGCAAGATATATAGGTGGGTAAGGTTTTGTAGTGACGGATGATGGGGAGTTTTGTAGAAGGGAATGGGATTCCATTAGGACGAGGATTGAATAGTGAAAGGACTGTCAAAAGCCGCAGTTCGGGGAGCCGTTGTTTATTAATCTGAAGACCAGGAGTGGGTGTGAACAGACGATTTGAATTGAAGGAGATTGGAAATTATGGTTTAAATCATTTTCTGTTCACAATTCTTCCAACTTTAGAAACTTTCTGTACACATTTGAAGATAATTATAACTCCTTAGAGAACTTTAAATTCAATAATCTTGCTGATTTTGTTTTACTGCATCTCGGACTGAACGTTGTGGACCCTAATACAAGAAGAATGTTTGAGAATAGTCTTGGCGAAAAAATAGTTCCTGCCTTTGAAGAATTTTGCAAATTTGTTAGGTCACTAATTAGAGTCGCAGAAATATGTTCCGAGCCTTCTACATCCAAAATTTCACAGCCTAAAGTTCAGCGAATTAAATGTATATTACAGCGTTCGTGGCTGCTTAAGGTTGATTGGGGTGATGAGTTGCCCTCTAGTGTGTCTTCATTGTGGACCGTTTTCCTTGAAGAATTTTCGAGCTTGAGAAATGTTTGCCTGCCTCGTTGTATTGTCAGCCATGACGCATCCATGCAGCTAATAACCTTTACAGACGCTGCCGAGAAAGGTTACGGGTGAGGTCACGCTTTTATTTCTAATTTTTCAACAATATATTTCGAATAATTTCTATATTTTTTTATTGTAAACCAAACAATTTTCCTCTTGTTTGTACCATGCCTAGTAATTAACAATCTGTGATTTTTTTTTTTCGTTTGCTTGTGAAACGAGATATATCATGATGGGGGATATGTTTTGTTTAAATGATATTATACCCGATCGCCGCATTGCGGTGAGTCGTGAAAACAGATCTGATAAAGATCTAAAAGATAATATTTGAGCCGGTCAAGCAATCAGACTCTGAGAGAGTCCAATATTGCATAGAGATCACTTAATACCAGACTGTAGGGAGCCCTCTCCGCTAAGTAAGATACCTATGCAAACATAAAAGGGTGAGGTTTATTTGCATAATTCATATCACCTAGCACTTTCAATCAAAATACAGTCCACTGCCAAAATAATGTCGAATGTTGCCTAGGTAGAACTCAATAGAGTTATTTGTCTTTTTTAATTAAATTGGAAAAATGCCTAAACATCCGTCTTTCTGGAATCCACCAAAGAAACCAGTAATGACAAATTATCGTTTATTACGAAGCTAAGGTCAATATTTCAGCAGTGCAGACCAATACATTTCTCAAAACAGATTCTCGCGAAGTTTTCATCCATTATAACCTACCAACTGTCCCTCAGAAATGACACAGTACGAAAACCGCTACAGCGGTCCTACCAAGGTTCCTTTCGTGTGATTAGAAGATATACCAAATATTTCACCATTGATCGACATAGGAAAGAAGACAAAGTATCAATTGATAGACTAAAACCTGCCTTCCTGATGCACACCAACTTCAATGACTACCAGAACACTCAGTCTTCTGCTGAGGACTAACCAAAACCACCCCTTGCCACCTAAACAACTACAGCTCGAGGTGGTCGAACTGTTCACCTTACAGCACGCTTCCATTAGAAGGGAGAGCACTATGGCGGCAACATTGTTATTATCAAGAAAAGTAACTTTTAATATTTTTGCTTGATTTTAATGAAATAAAATCTGTTGTATATTAAATAATAAGAAGTGTAAGCTATTAATGTTTAATGTTCAAAATAAAGATCTAAAGAATGTTGTTATTATGTCAAATACAAAGTTGCTATTATTGTTTATGTGGTAATACCCCCACAATATAAAAATATCTAGCCATCAGCATCAGATTATCAAGAAAAAGTATCTAACCCTCAGTGTATTAAGTCCAAGTATCAGATAAAAGTATTTAACCATCAAGCACCGGCGGATCTACAGGGGGAGCTTTGGGCTGAAGCCCCCCAAAATGGTAAAATACAACCATGTTTTATGGAAAAAAAAAAATTTAAAAATTATTTGAGTTGAGCATGGGAGTATGGGGAGTACTACGGAGTATGGGGCTCCACTAAACCATCAAATCTCTCTCGTATTTAATCCTTACAATCCAAAATCCTTCGTAAAATCCTCAATGCTCCTTACTTTGTCACAAATAAAATAATTCATAAAGACCTTAATGTTCCGTATGTTTACGATTTGGCCCAATCCAGATATCCATCCTTCCATAATAAACTTCATAACCATCCCAATTCTCTCGTTTCTAACCTTGCTGCCTCTTCGATTCCTGATAACCCTCCTAGGCGCTTGAAAAGAAGATGAACGCGGATCTTCTTATATAAACATATTATTAGAGTGCTACCAGTGGGTAGTTTCTCAACAAGCGTTTTCATGTGATTATATTCCTGTTTACACATTTTGTTTGATGTATTTATATTGTAATACAGTTGTAAATATCGTGAATAAATTGTTAATATATATATATATATATATATATATATATATATATATATATATATATATATATCATTAATACTGCCACAGCAAACAAAGAATCAGAAGCTTGCCCTATCGAGAAAGAATATCAATCAATTTCTTCAGTTATTTCAAAATGTTGGTTTTGCGGCCTTCATGAACACAATAGGTCTGTCTGTCCGGCCAGAAAGGCTATCTGTAGAGGCTTTGGAATCAAAGACCATTACCTGAAAGTAAAGCTAAAAAAAAACATAAATATTCTGTCTCATCTAGTTCTCTAACTCACTCCTTTAATTATTTAGCATCTTTACCTTCAAATTTAAATAAAGCTGTCGTTATAGTAAAGATAAATGGCTCTAATGCACATGGTTTGATAGATACTGGGAGTACCGGTACTTTTAATAACCAGTCCAGTGTCTTCAAATTAAATATTCCTGAGATCCCCTGTAAAGTAGAGGATGTTACGATGGCATCTACTACTCTGAAATCTCAAATCAAAGGTCAATGCAGAATAAATCTTCGCTTACAGGAACATAATTACAATAACATTAAAGTCAGTACCCTCAAAAATGTATGTTCAGACATTATAATAGAGTATGACTTCCCAAAAAGACATTCTACAGTTCAGGTTAAACTCGGTGGAACTAAAGCTCCTTTTAATATCTATATTGTCGCACTTGCTAATCTCGAGAATGTATGAATAAATTTATTGAAAATGAGATAGAAAAAATCAGGGTTACTTGGCAAAAATGTACAAAGGACCTTAAATCAAGAAAAAATTTCCTCTGAGATATTTCCGCAAACTCTGTTTAGGAGATATTCACACCTAAAGATTATACTTGTTATGAATTATTTACGTTATGTCATTATCATCATCATAATCATGTTCCTCTTTACCGATTATGCAGTGTGAGGTTGCTTCTTGTAGAGCTTGGACCGGGTGGACCTTTCTAGTACCAGCTCTCGCCTCCTGTTCCATTCTAAATATCGCTTCTGGAATGTATCTCGCACGCCTTCTTCCCAGGAGATTCCGGGGCTTCCTCCCGGTCTCCTATCCTGCACGCGAGTCTCGTACGTCTTCCTTGCGACTCTTTCCCGATTCATACGGAGAAGGTGCCCAAACCATCTCAACTTATGTTCTTCTATTATGGTCTCGACCGCTTTGGCGTCGAGATTGGCCCGGATTGTCGTACTGCGAATTCTGTCTCGTCGAGTCTTTTCCTCCATCTTTCGCAGGTATCGCATCTCTAGAGCCTTGATCTGGCTCCTGTGTTTCGAAGTAAGTGTCCAGGACTCGTCAGTGTAGGAAGGAATACTGATCTGCAGACCGTCATCTTCGATTCCTTGGACACCTCTTTTCGATTCAGGAAGCCTTTCCTAACCGAGCTGAACATTCTTTCAGCAGCTCCTATTCACTTCCGTACCTCCTCGTCAATATATCCATTTTCGATGAGTTGAGCACCCAAGTATTTGAAACTTCCCGCCTGCTCCAAAATCTCTCCGTCGACCCTCAATACTCTCATAACCCTGTGAGGTTTTCTTCTAATGCGCATGCATTTCGTCTTCTCAGTGTTAATTTCCATATTGATTTCTCTTGAATCTTCCTTCAGGATGTTAATGTTGTTCTGGAGGTCACGATCAATATGACGAGGTTAGTTACGACCCAACAGAAAATTTCACATCTTCTCTCTTGCTTTCTCCAACGCCAGATTGAGAACCAGTACGAAAAGAAGCGGGCTCAGGCCACAACCCTGTCGTATGCCTAGTGTTGTTTTGAACTCTCGAGAGGTATGGTTTATCGTTCTAACAAGATGCCTCATATTTCCGTATAAACGGCTTACGGCCCTTATAATTCTATTATTTACTCCTGTTTCTAATAGAGCCTCAATTATATCCTTTTTTCTAAACCCAGTCAAAGGCTCTGCAGAGATCTACAAAGCACATCGAGGGTTCATTTTACCTCTTGACAATCTTCTCTGTGATTTGTCGCATAGTGAAAACTAGATCCCGTGGGCTTCTCTGACTCCTGAATCCATACTGCTCCTCTCCAATCTTGGATTCTACGATGCTTCTGACCCT